CAGACCAGGGCCCTCCGTGAACAGAATCACATTCCGGGAAGAGGCCTCTGGACCCAGAATCAGAGAGAAGCCACACCCCGTCCTCTAGAACCGGCCCATCCTGTGTCTGTAACCCACAGACCACCCAGACTCGGGTTTGGTGGCCGATGGCCACCCTCTCTGCAGCCACCAGCCCTGCTCCTCTAAGTACGTCAGTCGAGGTGCTTTTGATACTTGGAAACAGAAGCGGGGTTATGTCAGTTCAAGAGGCTCAGGGTTCGCGGTGGACGGATGTGAGGAGGTGCGTACGGGCGGGTCCCGATCTGGGGCTGCGGGAAATGTGCTGGACAGCTAGCAGGTGGAGATGCCCTGAGCTCTGACGGGTGTGCATTGGCCACTGCCGTCCCTGCGCCTTGAACCTGAGTCCCCACCTGTAAGGACAGGCCCGGAGGACGCCTGTCAGGAAGGAGCCCCGCTCAGCCAACCTGGCCAGAGCCCCGGGTCTCAGCCCTGGGCGGCCCGATAGGAATGGGTCAAGGCTGGTCCCAACTGTGAGCTGAGCCAGAAAGTCCAGTCAACCTGGGCTCCAGTGACACCTGCCTCTCTTCCTCGTCCTGACCGACTGTTGATCAGTGCCACAAAGCAGCAGGACCGTCCTGCTGTGAGCTTGGGGATCCCCCTCCCAACCCCTGCTTCCGTCTTTGCCTTTCTGGAGTCAAGCGTTGCTCCCTCCCCAAGAAACAGTGAAGCAGAGAACTGGGTTAGATGTTCCTTCTTCAAGCCCTGGAAGTCCCACAGGCTGTAAATTTGAAGTCCTACGAAAACAAAACTGGGTGCCGAACAAAATGGAGCGGGAGGTCATCCGGTGCGTTTGGCAACGCGGAGCCCCCGGGAGACCGGCACCCAGAAGTGCGGGATTCCAGAGCCACCAGGAACCGTGAGGTCCGTGCGCAGTGGAGACGGCTGGCGTTGGGGTTGTGTGGAAACATGGTGTCCGAATGATGCCTTCAGCCACCCGCCCTCCCGTGTCGCTCCTCACGGACCCGAGAGCAGGTGCACCTGATGCGATCGGTGCCATCTGCAGAATGGCAAACCGAGGCTCCAAGGTTACCGTCTTCCTGGTGAGGGGTGGGGAGGGCGAGAGAGGAGCCGGTGGGCAGAGGGAGTAGCCGGTGGGGACAAGCCCTGCCCTGCCCTGCCCTGTCGCTGGAAGGAGGCTGGTGTGAATGCAGGCACCGAATGACACCCACGACCTGGGAGTCTAGGTGCTGCGGCCAGGTGTGTGCACGGGGCGGGGCGGCCCTGGACGCGTTCCGACCGCCACTGGCTGGCGGGGCCTGAGGGGGCCTCTTGGGCTTTGATCCCGGCATGGGGCTGGGCTTGTGGCCCCCTTGCCCCTCATCGGTTATGTGGCAGCAGGAAGGTTCTAGACACGGAAGCTCCCGCTGGCATCACCGGCCCCCGCTGAACAAGAAGATTAGCATCCAGCAGGCGAGAGATGGGTCCTCGTGTGTTTCTCGTGTCTCGCTCTAACATCACGGTGCTGCCAGTCAAACCGCGTGAAAGGGTCTACTTACGAGCGTCGGTCGCTGCCTCAAGCCGGACGGAAATACGAAATCTGTGTTTTTCTGCGGGCTTGCTCCCCGTACATCTCCCGTTTACAGTTCCTGTTTCCAGCACTCTTTCTTGGCTGCACAAAAGGGAAAGGATTTGCAGAATGATTCGGCGCGGGAACCAAAAGCCACGGGGCCCCTGGCAAGGCTCCCCCGTCGGGAGACGGGGGCAGTCTCCCGAGCCAAACAAGCGTCTCCCACAGCCAGGAGCACCTGACCTCGGCTGGGGAGCCTCTCCTGCCACCAGCGAAAAACCCCCGTCCCAGCCCTGCCACCATCAGGCACGCCCGTCGCTGTGCCCCAGCCTCTCACCTGCTCACGGCGTATTCGGTCAGGGGAAAGCCTGGCTCTCGCACACATGTAAGACGGCCCCACATCCAAGACGTCATTAGCTGAAGGTGGGGGGGGACTAAGAAAGATGTCTGGCAGCACAAAATCAGGACCATACGCCTGCGTGCGGTTATCTTTTTTTTTTTTAATGTTTATTTTTGAGGGAAGGACAGAGCGTGAGTTGGGGAGGGGCAGAGAGAGGGAGACCCAGAGTCGGAAGCAGGCTCCAGGCTCTGAGCTGTCAGCACAGAGCCCGATGCGGGGCTCGAACTCACGAACCGTGAAATCACGACCTGAGCCGGAGTCGGACGCTTAGCCCACTGAGCCACCCAGGCGCCCCTTGCGTGCGGTAATCTTGAAGCAGAATCACAAGTGGACGCGGCGTGACCTTCCAGTGGAGACACCCGGCGTCATCTGTTTCCTTTACCCCGGATTTCCTTCCGGCCTCCTGGCCTGTTGTCAAAAATCACCTCGACGGGGGGTTATTCTGGGTCTGGAGCGAGGCTGGCCTCGCTCGGTGTGGCCGGGTAGCTTCCACGGGGCAGCAGGCGGGCCGGGGCGCCTCGTGAGCCTGCCTGACCTCGTCTCAGCGGGAGACCCCATACGTGCATTTTTTCAAGCTTCTGTTATTAGCTGTCCCGAGGCCGGGCGGGCGAGCAGGACAGTGTCTCTCTTCCAGCGGCCACAGGCGGCACTTAGATGCCGGTGAAGCCTCTGCGGACAAGCACAGGACACGCCCCCCCGGACCGCGTTCCCGTCCACCGATTGTGGGCTGAGTGAGCCCGTGAAGCTGTCTGTGTTCCAGCTAAAAAGAGTCACGCTCTGAACACTGTCTGAGCGAGGCCGTCAGAAGCCCGTCCCCGGGAGTCTGCCCCTTGGCGTGGAGGTAGTTTTCGTCCCGTTCTCTGGGGCTCCGAGGTGGCCCTTCCGGGCAGAATCACAGCCTGGCGTCTGGCTGATGCAGAGACACTGCATAGACGTGACTCTGCCCAGTTCTGCCCGTTCCCACAGAAGAGAAACTTGAAGCGCAGAGAAGCTTGCCCAGGGTCGGAGAGGTCAGAGGCAGCGCGTCAGCGTCCCCCAGGCGCCCCGGTTCCCACACTGTCACCCCAACCGCTGCAACAGGAAATCCCCACCCGCGGGCCGGCTGCGCTGGGCAGAGTCAGAGGAGCCCTCCCCGTCTCAACAGGCTGCGTTCATGCATCTTCGGGGTCGCTGCTGGCCACGCCCCTCCTCAGTCCAGCCTCCAGGAGCCCACGGCGGAAGCTGGCTTTCCAGAAGAAGCTGGAGAGAAAGAATCTCGGAGACCGCCCCTGCCTGTGGATGCTGCAGGCTGGCACAGGGCCCCGACCCGCCGTGGGGAGCCTCCGTGCACATGAGCCGCGTGGGCGGCGACCTCTATGAAGGTGTCGCGTCTGCCCTGACGACGACACAGGTGCCCCTTCTCCTGGTCTGAGGCAGCCCACCCAGCCCACCCAGGCCCCCGGGAGCGACCTTGCTGTGGTCAGGCAGAGAGGGAGGAGAGGGGGGCTCACGGCAGCCGGGAGACCCCCGGCTCCTAACCCGCAGTTCCCGGGGCCCAGCCCAGACCCTCTGCCCCAGAATCCTTGTGCCGGGGCCCAGACATCAGCATTCTTCCGCCGAACACACCCTTGGAGGAACATCTCGTCAGCAGGGCTAGGGGGAGAAGTGACTCTCCGTTCCCCTCTGCGAAAGCCCTCGCCTGCCTCCTTTGTGCACCCCTGCCCTTCACCGGGGCCTGGAAGAAAGCCCCCAGTCAACCTCACAGAGGTTCAGAACGAGAACGTCAGAAGTGGTGCTGTGCCGGTGGGCGAATCGCCAGGACCCCAGACCCAGCCCTGCCGCCCCTGCCCGCTCTCGGCACGGCCAGAAAAGCCGAGGCATAGACTGTGGCGCTCGGGCCTGCGCTGGGGTCACTGGGGATGCGCCGTCGTGAAAATGCGGGCCTGGCACACGTCAGATAAAGGCGAGGCTCCTCTCCAGGGGGCGGGGAGGCTTCGTAATGCAGCCAGCAGTGGGGGGAGGGGCATCCAGAAAGCAAGGGTGGCGCCGATCGGAGGGCCCGGGGAGGGGCGCCACGGCCTGGAGCGAAGCGGGGGCGGCCCCTGGCGAGGCCCCAGGCCGGAACCTCCCCCCCCCCCGCAGCCAGCTAGGACGCGGCCATACGGGCAGCCAGAGTCCCTGCTGCACAGGAGAGTGGCACGGCTGTGTCCGAGTCCCAAGGCTGGGAGCTGGGGCAGGACCAGGAGCGGGGACAGTGCAGGGGCCACTGCAGGTCGCCAGGCTGAGCCAGGGCGGCGGCCACCAGCGCGGGGCGGGCCACCAGCGCCGTGACTGCGGGTGCAGATAGGCCGGCGGGGAGAGGGCGCGCTGGCTGGGCCTCAGCGTGGCCAGGCCAGCAGCGCACGGCGAGTGGCATTGGTCACAGAAAGGCGAGGTGCACGGGGGAGAGTATTCACTGTGTCCTGTAAAGAGAGACCCAGAGGGTCTTAGAAGAGAAAGTGGTGCTCTGGGCACCGGAAGATGCCCACCCATCCCAGGGCTGCTTCTCGCCACGCAGGGACGAGGGGAGGGGCGGTCAGCCAGGAACAATGCGGAAGGAAAACGTCCAGTGGGTGGAGACGGGGGCTTTGCCGTGGACTGTCCACACCCCGTCAGCCACGGAGATCGGCCGCTCCTGGGGAGGGATTCAGAGCAGAGACTCACAGTCGGGACCCCTTGGACAGAAGATGCTGATGCAAACGTGTTTCCCGCCCCCCCCACCCCCGTTCCCGGGGCGGGACCCCCCGGGCGCTGTGCACCTGCCTGCGTGCTACATGTTTTGCTGTGGAGACCGCTGGTTGGCCGGTTCACTTTGGCTTTTCCCGTGGTGATGCCCCCTTGGATTTAGTCCTATAGCCTCAGCCCCCCGAAGTCCACAAGGGCAACCTTTTTTTTATTTAAGTTAATCACCTTTAACAAACTTTTTTCCATAACGGTCTCCAGGAGTCATTGGAGACTCCCCGCAATGCCGTGTCACGAAACCGAGGGGGTCAGCCTGTGCGTCAGACGTCACCGATGGTGACCGTCACCCGCAGATGTGCGCCACGGGTGAGAGCTTTACCTCTCGCGACATTTCCCAAGACACAAAAGAAAAACTGAAGTTTTCACAGTCCGCGTGGATGGGCTGAATGAAAACACATTCTTACAGCATTCCCGTGCCCACAGTTCTATTGTCTCTTTTTACGGTGAACCTGCAGGCTGGGCGGGAGGCAGGGCTGGAGGCACCTGACGTCGCCATGGAAACCGGCACGCCGCCCCGCCCGCCGTCACCTCCCTGTTGCTTGTGTCTTACAGGTGGTTTTCAGCAAATACTGCAACTCCAGTGACATCATGGATCTGTTCTGCATTGCCACCGGCCTGCCTCGGTGAGTGATCCGGACGCCCCACTGCCGGCCAGGCCTCGCCAGGCCAGTGCACCTTGAGGGGAAGGCGCCTGGCTGGAAGGGCGAGCCGCCAAGGCTGAGGACCACAGGTGCACCAGGGCCCGGTGGGCTCGGTTCACACGTGGGAGCCCTTTCGGATCCGTGAATGAGACCCCGCGGGCCTGGGCCACGGCCTGTGTTCATGGAGGAAACCGCTGGGCAGAATTAGGCAGAAACCACCGTCTTCCGAGGGGTTTTTTTCCTTTTATTTATTTGCTTTCGAAGAAAGGCCAAGGGAGGGTGGTTGTGTTTTGGCTTTAACACAGGTGAGATTTTTCCATCTCGGGACGGGGTCTGGTGGCCACGGGGCAACGTTTGGGAAGACGCGTTGAGAGTAGTTGAAAAGGCCAGGGACCCCCTCCCAGAATCATCACAATTCCAGAAGAGCTATTTCCCCCAATCAACAGTCTGAGTGCAGTCTTTCTCCTGACTTTTTTTCTTTAATATTTATTTATTTTGGGGGAGAGCGCAAGCGGGAGAAGGGCAGAGAGAGGGGGACACAGGATCCGAGGCGGGCTTTGCTCTGACAGTCTGACAGCAACGAGCCCAACGTGGGGCTCGGGCTCATGAACGGTGAGATCGTGACCTGAGCCGAAGTCGGACGCTCATCCGGCTGAGCCACCCAGGCGCCCCTCTCTCCTAACTTTCCGATTGTAAAGAGTGGTCAGGAGTGGCCGTGGCGTGGCATCTCACTCCAGAGCTGTGGCCCCGGTCAAGGGCCGGCACGGAACACCAGGAGCGTCTCACAGACAGGGGAGGAAATTGCGTGCCTGGAATGACAACAAATGGCAGTTTGTAGCTGCAAAACTGGCCCACAGTCCCGGGCATCTTTCCCTGACCATTGTGCTGAACAATACACGTGTATAATTCTTGAGGACAACCCGGGATCTGGGTATCACCCCCCACAACCCCGTGCACGCCACAGAAGGGCAGAGAAGCTTAAATAACACGGTCAAGGCCACACGGCTTAGGCGAGACCCCAAGGGCGAGAGGTCGGGGGAAGATTCAGCTCACCCACTCGAAACTGCTTCGTAGGAGAGCGTGCCCCGCTTACACGGGCCCCCACAGGGCGGTCGGGGAGCAAACCGAACTCGTCGTTGGCCGACATAAACGCTCCTTGCTATCTGGTTGCCGTCTCCTTGATCTCCCGACTCTGTAACTTAGACTTCCTCCGATTCCCATTTTAAATTACTTAAAAATGGCGGCACCTGGGTGGCTCAGTCGGTTAAGCAGCTGACTCTTGATTTTGGCTCAGGTCACGATCTCACGGTTTGTGCGACGGAGCCCCGTGTTGGGCTCTGCGCAGACAGTGCAGAGCCTGCTTGGGATTCTCTCTGTTCCTCCCCACCTTGTGCTCACTCTCTCTCTCTCTCTCTCAAAATAAAATAAACTTTAACAAAAATTATTTTAAGTTACTTAAAAAAGGACAAGGTAAACCCCACTTGGAATTACGCATGGCCGCTTGTGTGTTACAAACGCAAGTGTCGTGTCTGGGAGCCGGGCTGGCCCCGGGACCCCTGTTGCCCTTTTGCGCGTGGGGACGCTGACGCGGTGTATCTTCCAGGAACACAACCATCTCTCTGCTGACCGCGGATGACGCCATGGTGTCCATCGACCCCACCATGCCTGCCAATTCAGAACGGTAAGTGGCAGCTGGCCGGCCTCAGCAGCTCGGGGTTCTTGGGGTGTCTCTGACGCTTCTCTACACGCGCGGGAGGGGCTCTAGGTTGTCCTTGCAATTTGCTGCTGTAGGAAAATCCGAATTTAAGCCAAAGATGGGGTAGGGGCGGGGGGGGCGAGG